TTTTTCCTTTAAAGCGTATTGACTCGTTCAGATGTCCCGATGCACATATCTGCAATATCCATACATAAATATTTTATGAAACAAGATTGACAAAATACTTCTGTTCAAGTGTTTTCCTTTCTGGACAATGAGTTTTTGCTATTGTCCAAATGTTTCCTTATGTAACATAAGAAGCATTAAAGAGAGATTTCTACCCCCACCATATATATATATATATATATATATATATATATATATATATATATATATATATATACGTATACCTACACTTATCGTGCAACTCTGAATTTCATTGTTTCCCAACTCGTCAGGCACAAATGGTAAATAAACCACGTAATACAGTTTTATTTTTTTTTAAATACCGGGTCTCATGGGGTGAACGCTAAATTGTATACAGATTCAAAGTTCAAAGATATTATAAGCTTAATATACTATTGAGGTATAAATTTAAAATATAGAGTGTTCGTGGGGAGATATCGGGAAAAATGGTGCATAATTTAAGCTTATATGGTACATATTTTTATATGGTATATGTTTACCGATGGATGGATATTGTGTAAAGAAAAAAGGTTTAAGTTTATGGGCAGTTATAGCTTTATAGCTATGTTTAACTACATTGAGGGCTGTTTTGTTGACACCATAAATTAAATAAATAATTATTTGCTTACCTGCATATGCACGCTATCTCTAATTGCTCTAATATCTTTCTATGTGGCGAAGTGTAATTTGAAAACTAGGCCATGCAGTCCATGATGCAGGCCATGATGCAGGCCATGATGCAGGCCATGATGCATGCCATAATGCAGGCCATGATGTAGGCCATGATGCAGGCCATGATGCATGCCATGACGTAGGCCATGATGCAGGCCATGATGTAGGCCATGATGCAGGCCATGATGTAGGCCATGATGCAGGCCATGATGCAGGTCATGATGTAGGCCATGATGCAAGCCATGATGTAGGCCATGATGCAGGCCATGATGCAGGCCATGATGTAGGCCAATCGCCAAGGCGGTGAGTGGGACAATGGAGCTTTACTTTTACTAATCTTAATGTGAGCAAATGCATTTCTACCAACAGGGCGCGCTTCAGGCATGATGTTCCCCCACCATTTGTAATACCCTGGCGGCTAAACTGCAGGAATGACCGTTATTGTTTACGAGAGAAATCTGAGAAAATAATATAACCTACAAATAACGGTATATTTAAAATCTATTTGTAAATCAGTTCACATGTTCGTTTCTTTTTGCCAAAGTCATCGATCTCTTTGCATCCGCACCACGCTCTAACTTCATCTGCTTCAAAAGGTCTTCATTCATGAAAACGAAAACCAAATTACTTTGGTAAAGGACAAGTTAGAGAAATATCAGTCAGTTATATGCCATGCGTGACACACGCTTAGGCGATCATGTATCTTTCGATACATGACTGACGAGGCAGATTTCTTCTCCCGCAGTTGGTTGCCATTTCTTTCTGTGGTAGACTAGTTGCCATCCAAGGCTATAGAACCCGGTCTGTCTTGCTATTTACCCATAGCTGAGGGGGGGAGTAGAAGATGAGGATTCATACTATTATGGTGACCTACCTATATGGGAATGCACTCTTCCTCCTTCATAAATACTAACTTGCGAGACTTCCTACGGGAGGCAGTCGAGACGCAGTGTAACCTGACAGTTTGGACGGACACTTCTATCTGCTGACTAATCACACTTTTACTTTGTATATTCCTGCTATTTCAATACATTTGTTCAACCTATCTTTTTTCCTGGTGGTTCGAAAAAACGTTGAGCTGGAATTAAATAATAATTTTACATTTTAATAGAAATTATTAAAACAAAATAGATAAAAAAAGCGTGCTTATTAAATAAACAGGCGTAGAATTGAAGGAAAATAATTTAATCATGGCGGCAGTTTTATTTGATACACAAGACTATTAAATAAAAAATGGCGAAATATATGTTTGTGTTTTATTTTACAATTTCTTAAATTGGTATTAGACAATTTTATATTGATTTAAAGAAGGTTTAATTCATTTGCTTTCTCTATTAATTTCATATCTCAAACGTATTCGAAGCAACACCTCTTCCGTATTTGCAACGAGAATAAAATAATTGTATAATAAGTGTATAATTTGAAGTTTCAGATTATTTTTTTCTATCCGAGAATGTCGGTTAAAAAAAATATGTAAATTCATAAAAAATATTTAGCTTGATACTAGACGATTAGCCCTTGGCAATGAGTCATTAGTTGAGAGATTTCTGGCGGGGCACATGTGAGACATACTATTTCTGAAGGAATTATGAATAAATATGTCAAAGAAGTGCGCATGCGCCGACTAATATACATACCAAAACAAATATAAACACGTTTTTCTATATCTATACAAGCAGACGATCAACAAACAAGTTACACAAATACACACATCCATGCATTCATTCACTCAATACATTTCTCATTTAAAAACATGACTTGCATACTGATATAAACAAAAGTGGTGCCTGTATGCAAATTTGTATACACAGAAATCTTGTTCGCTACGCGCATGCACACACCAACCTTATACACTAAATAATAATCACATATATTCTCGCTTTTTTTTTTAGCAATTTTAATACTACTGAAAGTTTTAAACAAGTTAAACAAATCGAAGAATATTATGGTATAAGGCTTTATGATTGGGTAGAGGTTACATCTCCAAAGTTCTGACACACCCAAACGTTGATGGGGAACAAACAGAGCATGGTGATATCGTAAAATATTACTCGGGTGCCCTGGGTTAGCGATAATGATGTTTAAGCATCGAAACTACACCTGGACCCAGGGTTATCATTGATGAAGGCCTTGTTGGAACAGTCATTCAGTTTCCATAGCAGTAACTGTATGAACACACACAGATACACACACACACACACACACACACACACACACACACACACACACACACACACACACATATATAGTTAGTTAGCCAGCCTTCTCTGACGATCCACTTAGCTGAAACCTTGGTATGTTTGTATGGCTCTCTAGGTTTAGCTAGGTCTGCTCTACTTACTGTATTGAGCACTTTATTTAGTTATTTTGCTTACTCGTGTTCTCAGGGTTTTTTCTTTGGGCGTAGGCGATGATGCAGGCGATGATGCAGGTCATGATGTAGGCCATGATGTAGGCCATGATGCAGACCATGATGCAGGTCATGATGCAGGTCATGATGTAGGCCATGATGTAGGCCATGATTCAGGTCATGATGTAGGCCATGATGCAAGCCATGATGCAGGCTATGATGCAGACCATGATGCAGGTCATGATGTAGACGATTACTTTCGGCTAACGTACATGTTCTTGGTTCTTTCTTTTTTTTTTTATACTTTTTTCCCTTTGGTATTGGTTTGATTGTTTGCAAATCAAGACACCGAAGGTTTTCCGAACGAGTGTAGTTTCTTATACCTACTTATTTCTACTAATACATATATATATATATATATATATATATATATATATATATATATATATATATATATATATATATTAGGAAAAAAGACCTTGATGACGACATTGTGCTCATGTCAAAAAGTACTTGGAATACAATGAATATGCATCAACATGGTAATTTTCTTACTTCCTTTAATAAATATATTAAGAAACTTGTCCGTTAATACGAGAGGATCATATTAAAAATAAGTAAACAAAACTTTTCTAAATTATTTAATGAGGCATTATGAAAATATGCCAAAATATACCCAATATATATATATATATATATATATATATATGGATAATTCAGTTCGCTCTTAATGCCGGTCGCGATCTTTCAACGGGATCTGACACGCCACACAAATTCGCTTTGCGGGAGGTAAGTCTTCTCGCCCCTCACACTCCCCCTGATCTCATGATCACATAGATAACAGGGTGGGGGAGAACGCCTTCAATGAACACTCCTTCGTAAAGGTGAAAGGGATGCTTCCGGTGGCAGTACTGCCACATCTATGTTCTGTGGGTCCATGACATTTCCGGTATCATCACGACCTTCCTCGTCATCCGAATCTGTACTCTCTGATGCAGGGGGCAGACCATCTGACTGCATTGTGCAAAACATTGTTGTCTCCGAATCACTATCAGACGACGTATCTTCGCTGTGATGCTCTTTTGAGGCGCTTAACTCGTGTTCCGGGAGAAGGTTTTTCACATGGTGTGGCACGCCATTGACCCGGACTCTTTGGGAGCTAATAACTCCATCAACTTGTCCGCTACTAAATTTAGTGGTACAACGTCCATTGGGGGGCTTGACCCATACGAGATCACCAATTTTTGATGGTTCTTTGGTATTCTTCGGAAAGTTTGGCATTATTTGGTCTATCCTCTTTATCCTCTGTCTGTATGTATATATTCCGTTGGCTGGCGCAGTTGATGGTGTTACATCGTCTTTGGGTGTGACGTTGTACCAATATACAGCTTCTTGAATGGAGCACCGTGTTCTGGCTGCTATCCTTTCAAGGGTGCGGTGACCTGACACGCCATGCAAATTCGCTTTGCAGGAGGTAAGTCTTCTCGTTCCTCATAATATATATATATATATATATATATATATATATATATATATATATATATTTGTGTGTTGTTGTTGTTTTCAATTCAAGAGAGGTCACTATATAAGATAGGGAGACAATATATTCATCGAAATATACTCTACATGGTGACTGTCCATGTGTCACTACTCCAATATTCCTTTCGCGGGCTCTCACTCTTTCTTTATTTCTGCCTCCCCTTCTCTCTTTCTCTCTATCACTCCCTCACTTGTGCTCTCTCCCCCTCACTCTTATTCTCTCCTTATATATTTTTTCAAACATGTTTGGGTGAATAATATCGACATGTCCTGTTTAACAAAGTTTTAATAATTTTTTCAAATGTCCGAATTAGTTGTTTTGTGTTAGCGGTAAATTTGCGAAGATCATATTTATTTTTCGTTTATAGTATTTTGCCAGAGAACTTTCGAATGTTGTTACATTCATTTTCAAGGATAGTGAAAAGTTCGAGATAGATAGATAGATAGATAGATAGATCGTTAGATAATGAACAAGTTGAGATAGATAGATAGATAGATAGATAGATAGATAGATAATGAATTGGTTTAGATAGATAGATATTCTTCATTTCGGAGGCTGTACAGTGTCCCCCGCAACGTGGTTTGAGTCACACATATCACTGTTGCCACTGCAAATGTACATTACCCACCTAATAACTGTGCTCACATCCACTATTTAATCTCCATAAGCACTCAGCAATCGTCGATGAATATCAAAACTTGTATTTTTTTTTTCATGGAGGAATTCGATGATACACCTCTGCTTCGTGCACACTTTTATGTCATACGTCATTCCGCTATCGATATTTAAAAACATTTTGAATTGCGGTAATTTTATTATTTAGCAAAGAAAACGGTATATATTTCAGAGAATCTAGTACACTTAATTATTACATGGATACACAAAATATAAGTCTATTCAATACAGCCGTCATCAGGTTCGATTACGGCCTCGATGCTGCTTCTAAAACGATTACCTGAGTTGAACAGGTATTCTTTATTCATATTAGCCATGGCGTCCTCGATAGCAGTATTCAGTGAGTTTTTGATATTGTGGACATGTTTGCTTGTTTCCATCTTAGCGACATCCCAGACAGTCCATAGTGTTTAAATCAAGAGGGGCTAGGAGATCAAATGTTAAAGGATATCATGATCAGGAAAATTTGTTGACTTTGATTAGCAAACGCTTAGATCAGATCACACTGTTCTCCCGGGTAATATTGGACGTGAACTGCCATCTCCTCATAGCGTAGAAATTTTATCTGACGTCTTCCTGCACCGCCCATCTGATTGTTGACCGGCGCTACATGGATTTGTTTGGTTATGATCATCTTTGATTGTCCGGGTTTCTCATTGATGAAACGCTGGACGATCTTGATGTTCCTAAAAATGTCTATTTTCTTAAGTAGCTGGTGACATGAAAGACGTCAAAGCTGCCATTGCGGCGATGAAAAAAAAAACAAAGAAAAGAAAGAAGGTTCATAGTTAAAGTTGATATGACGTGTTCTCAAATACCTGACGCACCCTGTAGACTGCTTTCTGTAAGAAGGCAACAAAATGATAGCTTATTACCAGGATGTTCAATCTCTACTCTCATTATTTACACTATTTACATTTGGAATATGTTGTTGTTACGACAACGTTTCGACCGTTATGCTACCCGGCCTTCCTCTGATATATATCGATCTGAGTAACCTACAGAGAATTCTGAATTGAATTTTTTATTAAATCTGCAGGGATAGACTGTTCTCCTTCCACTGCTCAGGTCTAGGGTTATCGTATAAATTTCTGGGATGAGGAGTTATCATTATTTACATTATTTATATTTGAACGTTTGTCCTCATCTTTGTTGTTGTTATCACAACGTTTCGGCCGTTATGCCTTCCTCAGGTGTATATCTATCTGAATAACCTACAGTGAAATTCTGAACTGAACCCTTTACTTAATCTGCAGGGCTAGACTGTTCTCGTTTTTCTGTTCATCTCATTCACATAAGATTCTGAAGTGGTTGTGCAACGTAATAAATTAGGAACAATTATGCAACGTCCTGCTTTTTTATATTGAAGTAACTCTAATAAATGTCTACATTATAGGAATGATTTCTAGGTTTAATTCGGAAGGAATTTTTGATTTCCTTCTTTGTTATCGCGAAATAGTTACAGACATTGATTTATCAAAGAATGGAGAGAACAGAAATTAATGTCCCCAATTCTTGTTCTATCTCAACGGTTTTGGTATCACGTTGAACAGATGTGCTAGCAATCGGTCGAAATTCTTAGAATCGGTCGGGACAAAATGGATACTTGCACGAAGTACACCTGTAAGATGAAACTAAATGCTAGTCTGGCTTATGACTTATTTAATAAAGGCACAGCTTCCTCGGCTTTTCTGCTGTTTTCTTCTTTTTTTTTTCATCGTTTCCGTTTCAATTCCTTTCTTCCAACGTTTCCTCCTAACGTTGATTTTTTATCTTCTTTTTTTTTACTTTCGTTTCGTAATATAAGCCTTTCTTTCTTTCTTTCTTTCTTTCTTTCTTTCTTTCTTTCTTTCTTTCTTAGTAATTTGTTCTTTCTTTTTTTTCTTTCTGTTTTTTGTTATTCATTCCTTGTTTGTGTCCTTTTTGGGTTTTTTTTATTTCTTTCTTTATATATCTTCTGTTCTTCACTTCTTTCTTTGACTTTTTTCTTTTGTCTTTTGCTTTGCTTTGCTTTTAATTTATTTCTTATATATCCATCGAACATAGACAGAAAGCCAAAAGTAAAAATGAAAAACAATACAGGAAGAAAGGAAGACTGGAATGAAAAAAAAAAGCAAGAAATGGCGAACAGAAAGAAAGAAAGAAAGAAAAAAAAAAAAAAAATGAAAGAAAGAAAAAAGGAAAGAAAGAATAAAGTAAAGAGAAAAAAAAGAAGAAAAAGAAAGAAATGAGAACATTAGGGAACGAACGTAAAAAAAGCAACAGTAATCAACATTAGATGGATGCGTTAGAAAAGAAAGACAAAGGTGTTGAAAGAGAAGAAAAAAGCAGAAAAAAAGTAAGGAAGGTGTGTGCATTTATAAATTAGTCATATATCAGACTAACATTTAATCTCATCTAACGGCTGTACTTCGTGCAGGTTCCTCATGTCATTTTTAATTTTTGCTATTCATTTCTATCTTTCTTTTGCTTTTTTTACTTTCCATTTCTTTTTTTTTGTTCTTCGTTATATTTCTTTCTTTCTGCTTTTCCTTCCTTCTTTTTTCTTTCTTTAATTCTTTATCTATCTATCTATCTATCTATCTATCTATCTATCTATCTATCACATCTATCTATCTATATTTATCACATAAAATGGTCCGGTGCTCCTACTATTTATCTAGAGTTCGGATGAGCTCTTCATTATGGTAAAATTTAAGAAGAATTAGACTGGCGTTGAGATCTATCATTTACGGTCCTGATCTGGCGGCTCCCTTCCAGTTCCATAGTTTCCAGTCAACTTAATTACCTCTTCCCGCTTAAATAAAGTTTTCCTTCCACACCAAATAAACCCATGCCTCCCTGTGTCTTTATTAGAATTAGGCTGAAACAAAATAACGGCTGTTTGTATAAATCGGCATTTTACCATCGTTCTCTTTGTTAATATTGTTCCCCGATTAGTGCGGCTAATGTGTACATCGGTAACTATGAATAAATCAATTTTCAATTATGGTTAAACTGAAGAATGTTTTACCGCAGTAATCGAGTTTTTAAATTTAAAATTTTAGCTCAGCATTAATCGACTTAATCGAATTGAATCGATCTCATTTTCAATTTAATATCAATTGTTAGAATTTTTAGATACTTTTGTTGTTGTTGTATCAAAGCAAAACTGAATAAACATAATTTTCGTTTGATTATGTTCCATAAAAAATCCAGATTGACTCTTAATCAACAGAAGATTTCAGAAGAGGACTATGCATCATTAATTTAAACAATTCACTTCTGCGTATTTCTGAGTCCTGTACAATGGAATGTACAGGAGCATCAACCATGTTTTTAATACTAAAACGCACCCAATACAAGGCTCCATAGTCACTCTAGGTTGAGCGTTACTGTTAAAATTATAATGAGGTCTATGATATGAATGAAAGAGGAAGTGGTATGAACTAAAAATTATGAGAATAGAAAACGATTGACTCTTAACTTCAAGATTTTAGTGTCCAAGGAAGCATCAACGTTGGAGTCTGTTCCACATAGTTCTTTGGGAAGCTGCCTAAGTGGAACTTTCTCCTTACCTTTGCAGCACGGAGGAAATGAGTGTGATCCGATTCCGTGGATGTGGTGTGACCTATCTGTAACATTTAAACTGGTGGAAGTGAAGAATGGTGCTCATCTGAACATTTGCATTGGAAATAGCATTTGTGGGCAAAAGTTAGAGTAGAAAGGAAGATTTCTCTCAAAAGACAGCATAAATGATTTTGAATTCTCTCAAGTGAGAATCGAGAATCTCAAACAGGACAGAATTACTTCATGTTTTAGTCTAATCTGACTCTTAAAGATAAACTATGAGAGGAGGAATCAGGTACTTTCTGGCGCCTTGGAATCGGCCGACAATTTTTCTAGTTTATTTTTTTTACGATGGATTATATATACTAATTAATGACCTTCCTGATGACATCAGCTCTTTACTTGATATCTGCGCCGATGACTCAACAATTTACTCATGACTCGATAAGTAAGGCTTATCAGTCTGACGAGGTGAAAATGGTAGCTGATGTCTAAAACGACCCCAAGGCCGTCGTTAACTGGGACAAAATGGCTTCTTAATTTTAACCAAAACTAAACTTCTCTCTAGTAATCAGAAACCCAACGCTAAGCTCTAGGAAAGTGACTCGTTACGCCTTCTTAGGCTAACGCTCTCAGCTGACACGAAGTGGAAAGACTATTTTGAATCCATTGCTAGGTCAGCTGCAAAGAAAATCGGTCCACTGTATCGTGCGTGACAATTTTCTCTCCAGAATCTATCTTACATATTGTTGTGGCCTGTTTAGGGGCCAGAAAGAAAGACACGGAAGACGAAGGTCGGTTGAAAAAAGTTTATTGAAGATATATACAAAACAATAGTGTTAGTAATAAGTAGATTAGCACTGCGTCTACAACTCCACTCCATTTCCCACTCTGCGCTCCCGTCCGACTCTCACAGTTTGTATTTATGAGAGAAGGAAGAGTTCATTATGCTGTAAGAGGGTTTACCACAACGCATATCTATAAATCTACTATTCGTCCATACTTAGAATATTACTGCCATATATAGTCTGGTACCCCTTCTATTTACCTGGAGCTCCTTGATAAGATCCAAAGAAGAATCAGCAATATTATTGGTCCTGGTGGCTCGGCTTCGGTCACTTACCCACCGTCGTAACCTTGCCTCTCCGTGCCTTTTCTATAAATACTTTCATAGTAATTGTTCGGATGAGCTCTACATTATGGTACCTAGACTTCATGAATTTAAGCGCAGCACTAGACTGGCGTCGAGATCTCATCAATTTATAGCTGAGCTGGCTAGATGTAGCCGTAAGTTTTATGCTAACAGTTTCTTTTCTCGCACTT